TCCGTGAGCATCGTTCTAAGCTCAGAGCTGCAGAAAGAGTATGGCGCAAATCAAAAATCCTACAGACCTTAATGTATATCGGGACGAAGCACAAGAGAATTAATTGAGTGACTAACCAATGCAACCCAAGAAACAAGAATTAGACCAATAAACAAAACAACTGACACAACTTATTGAGGAGGGAAAATAAAGCTCTCCGAGCTAACGAGACAATGAGTTCACACGGTATATTCAAAAGATGTATTTGTAACATCAACTCTTATAACTGTCTGCAAACCATAGCTCTTTTGTGGAACACTTCTCATGACAAACATCTGACTGATCAAAAAGTTTACCTGTGATTACGGAGTGCTTGATTTGATACAGAATTGACAGTGTCAGTATTGCACCTGATCATGTCTGAATGATCATGAAAGGTAAAATAATGATCACAACTATTACATCATTTTAATTGTGCATCCCAAGCCCATGCCAGTAATAAAAAAACAGCCCAAAGTTGCGCAATTACCATGTCCCAAATATAAAAGTAATTTCCATTCCTAAAATACATATTTTACAGTCACTGTTATGCAATCATTTTAAAGGCTATTGTTCACTTATTTTTATTACCACAAAAAAATGTATTATAATTATAGGGCCATATGAAATCCGTTTTATTTCCAAATTCAGTTTTTTTCCATTTTCATTTTTTCGATACTCTGTTTTAATAGTTAAATTAAATTTTATTAATCAAAAAGCCTGTCTAATTAATTGAGTTTCAAAATGCTTCCTACTAGTGTGGCCCAAAACAGTTTTAGTACAGTAGAATGCAAAAGCATTTCAACCAAATGTAATTAATGCAATATTTTAAACATTTAACCCACTGGGGAAAATCAACCCATGGCAACAGTTTAAAAGCAGCCCAATTTCGTGGAAAAAAACAACAACAACAACCAACCCTGCATCCAACACGAGCTGCAGAAGTCAGATTTGACTGATCACGTTGTCAAAAGTAAGGAGAGATAACTGACAAGATGTTTGGAGGATTTGCTTCTCAACAGATCCCGAGCTCATTGATAAATATCTTTTATTGTAAGATGTGCTCCCTTTACACAGTGCGCGCGCGATCGCGAAATCGAAAGTGAAAGTGAACTACGACTGCAAGCGCTCATTCACGAAATCGAAAGTGAAAGTGAACTGCGACTGCTAGCGCTCATTTAAAAGGGGTTTAAATACACCACATATTGATAGCGGCGCCCTGATGCGCGAAAATAATATACAATATTAGAATGTTTGCCGGAGTGCACACAAAAATCGCAGGAGCGGATGGGAGCATGCGATAATGGTCAGAAGTTCAGCGAGAGCAGGATCAACAAGCCCCGTGCTATCACGCAGCAGTGCACCAGACGTCAAATCTTGCGGGATTCCATAAATAAACTACACAGAACCCCACTATTCGGACAAATATACATAATGAAAAGACGATACAAAATGTAATACCTTGGAAAATGTAATTTAAGACTTTTTAATACTTATTAAGGGCCTTAATTTTCTCTAAATTGGTTTATCAACTTTTAATACTTTTTAAGACCCCGCGGACTTGTTGTATTTTCCTGTCAAAATAACAGCGTTCCTTTGGAATTCTTCAGCTTTTAAGAACTGCCGGGTTTTCCGGTAGTGGGCGGAACTAATGCGCAAACGGCAATCTCATTGGCTGGTGCTCACCTATTATCGTCCGTTTTGATTTCAGCAAATCAGTTCGAGCAAACGCACACAACCTGATTATTATTCATGAATTCAGCAGCTCATTAATCCTTAGTGCGTTTTATATTGTTCTTGTTCGTATAATTTGTATTATTATCTTATCAGTATTCTTGTTAGTTTTTTCCCCATTTTATTTTACAGAAAGAACGACCAAAAAGCACCACCACCAGTCCTAAGTTCAGTTAAAATGACTAATATGCATTCATACATGGTTATCAAGTTTTAATTGTAATTACTAAAGTTCTATCATTACATAATACTTGATTATAATATTATAATGCTTGACTGACTGATGTTAAGAGTGTACTTTCAAATATCAAAAAAAAAACTGTGCCATTTTACAAACATTATATAGTCTGGTGAGTAAACAAAAACATTTACTAGCCAATGGCGATTCAATTGCCAAGGTGTCCGTAGAGGGTTGTGTGCTGATTTACTCGCCTACAAAATCACCCCAATCATTAATTATAAAGCTATTCAAGTCATTTGGTGATTTTTTATATCACAATATATATTGCATATAAACAAAATATCCCAATGTGAGTTTATTCCAATATCGTGCAGTCCTAATTGGCACAGTGGTTAACCAGAAAAATTAAAAATGGCAATTCATGCCCAAAAGGTTGCCGATCCCTGGTCTGTCCACATGAGACGACCCACTCCATTTCAAATAAATGCTTTAATTAGGACACTCATAAGAAAAATATAATTCTGTAGAGTGGGACATTTTAATAAGGATCAATTGACTGAGTTCAGCTTTGAGAATGAAAACCAACCTGTTTGTTCCTCAGTATCTTCTTGTTTGATTCTGAATGCTTCTTCAATCTTCAGATCTTCACTCTCTTCTTTAATAAACGCCATCTTTATAATAGTGTGTCACATGGATTTCAGTCGCTTCACTGGGAATATTTCTGTGTCTGGAAAAAAAAAAAAATCCAAAGTAAATCTCTCCAGTCAGAGTTAATGGCCCGATTAGCCAAAAAAACACTCAAAACTAGTGCCAGAAATGAACAAAAGAAAACAAACTATACAAACACTTAAAGAGCAGGTCATATGGGTTTTTAAAAAAATATCTCTTGCAGTTTATAATGTAGCTATTCTTAAATAAAAACAATCTGCAAAGTTGTTAATCAAAAAAGTGCATGATAAATATATTGTCTCTCAAAAGAGAGAGTCGATTCTGAATCGCCTTAACGAGTCGTCATATATTCGAATCTTTTGCCTGTTACCGGTTTACGTCACTGGGTAACACATTTGCATAATCCCCACCTGCCCGCGAAATACGAATCTGACCTGCCCAGTGCCCACAAACACTTCCGCTAGTTAGTGTGTTTACATCATGCTGAGAAGACGCTGTGTTCAAGGATACCACAGAAATACAATTCCAACCTTTTGTTGTGTGCATGTCATTTTACCAAGGACTGCTTCTCTAATCTGGGCTTTTATCGTTGTTGGCTTCTAATCTTCTTAATTTGGACTAACAAGCTCTCCGAACCACAACCTGTAAGTACGATTGATACGTTATGTGTACATTTTCAATTGAGTTCTCAAAATATCAAGTTTTTGCGCTAATATGTGATGTATAACTAGTGCAGCTTTAGGTTTCCAGGTAAAGCACGGTATTACTGTCTTACTGAAGTAGTTCTGATAATTCGCTGTGAACCCACTATTTCCTAAGAATGTGTCGATTAATGTAGACTGACGTTCAGATAATTACTTCGTTTAATAATAAAGAATGTAGTGTA